ACAAATTTCCGCTAGTCTGACAACTCCAGCTGAGACTGCAAGGCTGGGCCTTGCAGCATGCTAGAAACTGTTGAAAAAGAGGTAAACGACTCGGGTTAGAGGCGCTGTCCCACTGAATTAGTGCACGAGTGTCGCTGTTCATTTCCCAGTACGTAATAGCTCTATCGAACTATATTCATAGGATCCACAACTTGGTCATAAATTTTGCCAGAGCTAGAAGGTTTCATAGAACTCATAGCACTCATACCTGTTGCTGAGTATGCCATCAACGCCCCGCAGAGCTTCGAGCGGAATACACGTTCCCAGTTGTAAGCATTTATCCCTTTTAGCGTCCGGGCGAAACGAAAAGTAAATTGCCGTGAATGCTGCCTCGTTTAAAACCTCTTTCCCCACAAAGCTCACAAAGTAGTGATGTTAATAGTGATTTTGCTTGTCGTTCAATCGATAACTAATAGAGAATTTGAATGAAGTAGCAAACTGTCCCTTCCCGATGGCTTTTCCATACACTACTGTCCCAGTACACCTTTGTGCCTCCTCTTAAACCATCATCAGTGAATCCAGTCGGGGCGTGTCGGTGGCGAATTGGTTTCGGCCGGCGCTAGCCTATTCTCCATCGATCGGCGGCTTGCGGTCATTGTGAGGTTGTAAAGAGGCTGACGGCGCGCCAAAACCCACGCGCCACCGGCTGTATACGGATCGGACTTTTTTTGCGGCCTGGTTACTGAGACCCTCGCACGTGGATTCGCTGGCAATGACCCTATTCAAAAATGTTGTGTGACCCTCTATAACCATATGTCTGGCCCTCCATATCCTGAGTGAGCCCAATGACCATTCAGTCATCAGAGCCGCTGGGCCTCGACGGCATTACTTCAAACTGACCCCTTCACCAAAGACCTTGGACTCGCACACACTTATAAGGTTTATCTAATAAATGCTATAAATTTGAGAGTTTTTCCTTCCGAGCTGCCAACCCTTCCACCCCACCCCCTACCAAACTGTAAGATATAGAAATTTTGAAGGCATCTAGCATAGATGATCTGCAACTAAACGGGTGCGAGTACAAGGCCCCCGGTCCACTTATTAAAGTTCACCTTGAAAATGGAATATAACGAAATCCTGGAATTCGTCGTCCTCAACAACAGAAACTCCCTCCAAACCAGAGAATGAATCTTGGCTAGTATCTATTCGTGGTCAGTAATTGCCTGACTACCCGAAATGAGGGACGATTTTCTGCGCGAAATGAGAGAAGATCCCCTGCTAGTGTTTGGCCTCACGCTACTCCAATCAGGGGACGATCCTCTGCTAGTATTTAGCTCGTCGTCAGCCATCAGCAGCCTGCCCAATGGAGAAGTTAATTACTGCTGGTGCTTAACTCCTCTTCAGCGATCTCTACGCTATTCAGATCAAAGGTTGATAGACTGCTGATACTCAAGTCCTGTTCAGTGATCATCTCCACGCTGCTAAAATCAGAGGTGGATGAACTGCTGGAACTCAACTCCTCTAAACCAATTTCCACGCTACTCAGGTCAGGAATCGCTAAACT